GGCCCACCACACACACACACACACACACACACACACACACACACACACACACACAAATCCAGGGGTAGGAATTCCTGAGGAGTCTCCAGTGAGGAGAACCTGCTGTCTTAACACCACATCCTGTTTCTGTTTCCCCTGGTTAAGGGCACAGCCCCGGGGAGCCCTGTGTTCCCTGGATGCATGACAGAAAGCACACCCTGCAAGCCCCTTTGGTGCTGTGACTTGGGGGAAGGTTGCTGAGAGCTCTTTATCTCTGAGGCCTGCGTGCCACCACCCTGGAAGGACAGGTAGTCACTACCAGCCTGGCCGGTGCTCCCAGTGCTGGAGGGGAGGCTGGTTTCTCTGGGAATCCCCACTCTTCTCTGGAAACATTGCTTCTTTCATCAAATACCCTGATGGTGCTATCGTACAGGTCTGGTCTTAAAGACAGGTCTGAGGACCCCGCCGTCGTCTGTCCTGTGTCTGGTTGCTGGTGTTCAAAGGATCACAGTCGCCTCTCCAGCTGCATCGCATACAACCTCCAATTGAGTCACAGCACCAAAGGGGCTTTCAGAGTGTGCTTTCTGTCACACATCCAGGGAACACAGGACTCCCAGGCCACATCAAGAGGAAGAAACAGAGGCGAGAATGCTGCAGAAACTTCCTCCTTCGCTCCCAACTGAGGAGGTCCCTCTGCTCTCTGTTTAGGGTGGGCTCTGTTTATCTCCCAGTGCAAACGCTGACCACACATTCACCACCAGAGCGTGCCAGGCAGCACCAGCATATGTCCCATCCTGACCTCCCTTTCAGAGGATGTCCAGCATCTGATTTCTGTCCCATTTTCTCCATCTGCTGGATTCCACATCAGATACAATAACCCACACCTTTACAATGGAATCAGCCTCTGAAAAAAGGTACCAAGCCAGCACAAAGTGACAGAGCGGCCAGGCCAGAACGTGGGGTGCAGAGAAAGGAAAGGCCTGGAAAACCACCTGCCACTGTGGGGTCAAAGGCTGAGGTCCTCTCAAAAGAAGCAGGGGCTGCGATCTTACCCCAGGTCTTGGAGCAGCTCGGCATCCCCGTCTGGTTGGCTCCACAGGTCCGAGGGTGCCCGGGTACTCATATTTCCTTCCAGAAGCTCCGCTCTGCCCATCCGCCCGTCGGCGCTGCTTCTGGCCAGGTGCGCTGGAAAGAGAGGGTGGACTACGCTGGCCTCACTCTCCGGAGCCTGCTTGGCTGGGAGTCCCCAGCCAGCAAGGAAGTGAAACCCGAACTCCTCCCACAGCCACCCGCCCTAGCCCCGGGCCCCACAGGAGAGCTCAGTCAGCCAGGAAGTATGCTCACTGAGGCTGCCCTCTCAGAGGTCTGCCCACCTGGACCTGGACGCGGCCCTGGTGCCGCCCTAAGCGGAACCTCAGGTGATCGGGCTGCACGCCCTCGAAGCCTCCTGTGTCCCATCGCACACGCAGGAGCAAGGAGGAGCTTCCACGCTCAGAGCACCTTCGGGTTCGTCAAGAAATCGGGTCCATCTCCAGCGCCTCCTGCAGTCTCCAGCACCGTCTTGGTTCTGCACAGCTGTCAGAGCTCCCCAACACAGCCGAGGCTCAGTGCTCTGCTCTCAGCAGGAGAGACTGGGGAGAAGGAGATCCAGGTGTCCTGGTGCCCACCCGATGGGGCTCTGTCCGTGGGCCGGCAGTGTGTCTGGATTGATTGTGGGGCTGGGAGCGGGTCAGAAGGACCCACAGTGAGTCTGAGCGAAGGAGCGAGGAAGAACTTGCTGGGAAGATGCCCCGGTCTCCTTCCCGGACCCGACTGAAAGGGTCCCCAGGGTTACCTGAGATGGCCAGTTTCCTTGCTGGTGCTGTCTGAGCCCTGTAGCCCTGATCAGTGTGGACGGGACTATGCTGGGGACTCTGCCCACGTCCACCTTGTCTGTCCCTAAGGTCCTTCCCTGTGAATCTACCTCTGGCCATGCAGGAGAGGCGGCTGGGGGCGCGAGCTGAGTGCGCACCGAGGGGGTACGGGATGATCCAGCAGAGTCTGTGCGTGGCAGAGCTAGACAGAGCCTGTGTACCAATTTCCTGTTCCTGCTTGGTAGCCCTTTGTTCAGTGCTTTAGTCTCTACTTTGTTCCCATTTTAGCAAATTCTGGTTTTGTTCTCTTAACTGGTTTTGGGGGCGGGGGAGTAGCAGCATTTGCCTAGATGATCTCTTTCGCCCTTGGCAGCCGCCCAGCCTTTCTCCCTTTCCACTGCTCTCCCTGCCATGACCGCCTCCTCCTCTGACGTCACGCTTCCATGTGTCACACGTTCCCTTTTCCACAGGTCCTACCCTCCCCTGCCACCTTGGGGGCACCGTGTGCCCATGTGGAGCTCAGCCTGCTGCAGCCCAGCCAGGCAGCTCCAGCAGCACGCTGGGCACCCTTCAGGTCCTTGGTGACTTGCTTCACACTTGACCATCCACACATTGTGTTTTCAGCACTTCCAAAAACCTCCCCAAGCTATATTTTTTAAAGCCACATAATTCGCTTATTTCACTACTCTTCAATGCTGCTGGTTCAGGACACTGAATCTTTTCCACACTGGTACTGGACATAGAAATGGACACAATCAAGCAAGTTTTAACAATTTGGGAACAATTTCATCCTTTTTTAAACTATCTATTACTATATATATTTATATGTAATGTAACATTTTAAAACAAAATATATTTACATATGCATACATTTATATTTAATGTGTATATATACTTATTTATATGTTCTCTTGGAATGCTGTGAATTAAACCCAAGGCCTTCTGGGTCTAGGCAAGGGCTCTTACCTGGGCCACATCCTGAGCCCTCTTTGTTGACAAAGAATTTTACCTAGGAGGAAATATTTTACTTATCTCCGCTAGGGAGATTTGAAAAGAAACTGCTCCATAGAGTGAAGACTTTCAGTGGTTCCTTCTTAGTTTAGTTATCTTTATGGAAAGCATCAGTACCACAACGTCTGCCTTTCCCCTGGCTGCCGGGTGTGGCAGGTGTACCCAGGATCTCAGAGGAGGGGATGGCGCTCTGAACTTCCGGTTACTCTCGGAACTTCCTGTTCCCCCCTGCTGTTGACTGAACATGGACTCTTTCTCCCCATCATTCTTGGAAGTGGGGATGAAGAATGCTCTCAGAAAGGAAGATCACTGTAGCTTGGGTTTCCGTGAACTGAGGCTGCACTGCCTCAGATGGAGGAGCCCTCAGCCTGTCTCCCACCACCTTTTCTCCACAGCCAGGGAAAAGGAGAAATCTTCATTTCATATTGAATTGGGAAGAGGGATGACAGATAAAGAAAGAACTGCATATGGCTTTTCACTTTATTTCAAGGAAGGGCTTCCATTTCTCCTCTTAATTCTGTGGCAAGCTCAGGGTCATAAAGGAAGGGATGAAAAAAGGAATTGAGATGGATTGTGTATGTTTACCAACTACACAAGAGGAACATAAACATTACATACTGTAGACATGTACTAATAAAATAGTGATCAAAAATAGTAAAGTACGGGCAGGGTATTTAGCTCAGTGGTTCCACTGCCTGCAAGCACAAGGCCCTGAGTTTGATGCCTGGTAAAAAACAAAAACAAAATAAAAAAATAGCAAGGTTAAAAAAGAAAAAAAAACAAATGGAGTTTTACTTCAGATCGGCCCCTCTCTTCTCTGCTGCAATTATGTGTTCACTAAACACAGAATCTCAAAGGCTGGGGCCTTGCTTGTCTTGAGTTAACCTGGCCCCAGTTCACCCTCTTCTCCTGTCTGTGTGCACAGCCCTGGCTTCTTTGTTGGGAAAGACTATCTGGACATGGCTCTGCCTCGTCAGCTTCCAGGTGTAAAGTTTACCTTAACCCCTTCTTCCTCTTCCAGGAAGCTGGAATCAGGCAAACACAGGGAGTTTTCTCAGAAGGGAAAGGGTTGATACGAACACTTTAAACTTCACCCTGTCGATGCACCCGTTCTAAGCTGACACAATAGAATGTGAGATCCTGACCCCTCTGGGACAGTGTCAGAGGTGGGGGTCTTTGTGAAGTAACTCAGTCATGAGTCTCTGTGAATGGGATGAGAGCCCTCACAAAAAGGACCCCAGAGAGCTCTCTTGACCTCCTTGCACCACGTGAAGATACAACAAGGGATCCACAAGCTGGAAGGGGGGCTCCACTCATAGGCCTGACATGTTGGTGACCTGTTCTTGACTTGAAGCCTCCACAGTCGTGAGAAATAAGTCTGTTATTTACCAGCCTCCTAGGCTATATTTTAAAATGGTCCAAACTGTGAAGACTCGTGGTTCCCTGGATGACTTAACATCTTGAAGAATAAGATCAATAGGCCTATGGTATAAGCCCCTAGATGCTCAGTAATATTAAATAAAGGTTTTAAAAATTTAATTTTATTGGTATACTGCTGACATACATAATGATTACATTCATTACAGGGGATTTGTAGCTGTACATATTATATCTTAATTCTCTTTTTCCCATATCCCTCCCTTCCCTTCAATCCTTCTTCTCTCCATTTACAAAACTTTATCTCTCTTGTTTTCCTCCCATTCTTTTATATTTTTTTAGCCCTATTCTCACACTCCTCCCTTGTTCCCCTTCTTACTTGAACAAGGTCTTCCTACTTCCCAATATCTATCCTTCATTTTGGTCCTTATTTACCCTTTGAATTTCTCAAACAAGAGAAATGATGCAATATTTTAACTTGTGTATGCAATTTGTTTCAGTTGACATTATGTTCTTAAGGTCCATCCATTTACTTAAGCACGTCTCAAATCTATCCTTCTTTGTGACAGAGCAGTATTACATTGTAAAACGAAACCCACATTTTCTTTTTTCATTCATCTGTTGATGGCCAGATAGGCTGTTTCCAAGATTTAGCTATTACCAACTGTGCTGCTGTAAAAATGGGTGTGCATATATCACTGTGGTATGATGCTTTTAACTCTTTCAGGAAGATGCCTAAAAGGAAAATAAAACCTGGGTCAAATGAAACGTCTAGTTTTAATTTTTTGAGGAACCTCCATATTGAATTCCATATTGGCTGAACCAATTTACAGTCCCACCAAAAGTGGGGTTTCCTTTTTCCCCACAGCCTCACCAGCATTTGTTATTGGTTGATTTCTTGGTAGCCATTCTTTCTGGGGAGAAAGTGTTGTTTTAATTTGCATCTCTCAAATGATCAGTGATGATGAACATTTTTTCATATATTTATTTGCTATTTATACTTCTTCATCTCAGAAGTGTCTATTCATTTCAGATGCCCAATTTTGGATTGGGTCTCTAAATTTGGGAGGTATTTGACTTTTTTTGGTTCTTTATATATTCTTAATTAAAATAATATTAATATAATTATAATATATTGATATTAATATATTGCTATATTAATTTATATATTTCAATTTTTTATATATTTAAATTAGTCCTTTGTCCAAGGAGTACCTAGTAAAATTTTTCCCATTTTGTGGATTATCTCTTCACTCTGTTGGTGTTTTCTTTTGCTGTGCAAAAAATTTTTTTTTTTTTTTTTAGTATGATGAGGTCCCAGTTGTTGATTCTTTGTAAAAGTTGATTTCAATGACTAAGAAATATGAGACAGTTCAGTGGAGATCCAGCCAGACAGATGGGCATCTGCGTGGTGACAAGCGGTGCTGTACCTGGTCACAGGCCTCTGCATCTGGTCACCCCACTGTTCTGGTTGTTGTCCTCACCTCTCCTTGGGATCGTTCTGCTGGCCTTGGGCCAGTGCTTTCGAAACCTGTGGGATACTGACCTGTCCTTAGTCTCTAGCATGTGCTCCTCTTTACTGTTGTGTGTGGAATCCCACTACTGCCTGCTTCTCCACCCTCATCCTTTAACAGGTTGATACCGGACCGCTGTGGCCAACACTCCAAAGTTCCAGGGATGCCTTCTTGTCTCCTGTGTATTTCCCTTATTTCTCTCCAGGTCTCTGTGCCAGCTCACTCTGAGTGCGAAGAGTAGGAACATGAGTGGTTCAGAGGTTCACTGGTGGAGGCGACTCATCTTTTAAAGTTACAGAATTAGAGTCATAGCCAGAGAAGGTGAACACGATACCTACAGGGAGCTGGGTGAGGCTATATGGGAATAGTTTGCATTCTCTCTAGACTTCTCCCTCGGTCTCACTGTGGACTAATGTGTAGTTATGGGTTAGATTGATAATGTCCCCCAAGAGCCTCATTTGTGCCTAGGCAGGGCTGTTGGAAGAGGACTGGACCAGGAGGTACTAAGCTTGCTTGCTGTTAGGAGTTGGGGCCTGATAGGAAGAGGTGGCTACCGGGGGTGTGACTTGGAAGGGTGCGTCTCCCTCCCTGCTCCGCCCTTCTTTCTCCACTTCCTGGAGTCCATGAGGCGAGCTGCTTTTCTCTGTCCAGGCCCTTCTGCCATGCCTTGTCT